TCACCTGCCTTCGCCAAGGCTTTGAGCACATGAGCTCTGCTCGGTCACCTTCAGCTTTTTGCTACTCCAGGAAACCTGGATTCTCATTTACACACATGCTGTTTCCATACCCTTCCTCCAAGCCTCGATCATGCTGTCCCCTGAGCTGGTGTGCCTGGACCCACACGGGCCCCAGTCACTTGACTCCTTACCCTCAAGCCCTTGCAGTATGCTTCCTCATAATGCAGTACTCATTTATGTAGCTGTGCTAGCTTCCAGTTTTATCCTATGTTTATAGCTCAGATTCCTAATTACATCATAAGATTGAGGGGGCTGAATCTTCCGTGTCTGTGCATTCCTTAGAGCCAAAAGTGCTGGTGGAAAGATATTCAGTGGCGTCACCCTTTCTGATCTGAATGATTTCTCCATTTTATGATACGAACGTATTGTATACTACTGTGCTCTTAAAACACTTTGTTTCTGTCACTAAGGAAAATGTCCATTGGGTTTCAGCAACTCTATTTTTTTTAATATGGAAAATTAAGTAATACCCATTGCCAAACAAAATAAAGCAACAATAACACCACCACCACCAACAAAAAAACAACAGTCAAGTCTGTGCCAGATCTCAAAGCATAAAACTGCACAATAAGCACAAATGCAGGGGCCTCTTGTGTCCAGTGCCATAGCAGGCACCAGGGAATGGACGCTGCAGCAGCTCAGACCCAGCACAAAAACCCCAACAAAAAAAAAAGGAATGGATCAAAATAAAAAGCAGGTTATGCTAACACAAGAATATGCCAATGGTAGTCCACTCGCTGGGAAAAGCTCACCACCACAATACCTGCTGGGACTTTCATGCCTACCAGGACCCAGGTCCCTGGACCCTTGTGCATTTGATTAGCTTAATCTTCAGCATCACCCTGGAAGGCATAGATGAGGAAGCCCAGGCTCTGAGGGGAGTCATTTGGCCTAAAGCTATTCAGGGAATAATGATTCAAACTCAAGCCGTGTGACTCTGAAGCCTCTGAAGCCGCATTCTTTCCACTGCCTTGTGTTGTCTCCTTTGGAGAGAGACATGACTTCAGGACATCAAGGAAGAATATTTAGCAAGCACCTGTTATGGCCTCCTCCGGGCTTGGAATGGCACAAGATTGTTGAAATATATTGCTCTTTTTAGTGGCTGCCAAGGAGAGTCCTGAGGGGAAAAAAAGGCGCCATAAATTCCATCAGCACCTTCCACAAAACACACACAAGCCCAGGGAAATGAGGGTGCCTGCAGCTTCCACAGAAATCCTGCAGTCCCTCCTCCTCCACAGAAATCTCAGGGCGAGACTCCAATTCCTGCCTTTGCACAGTTAGTCTAGTCGGAAAAACAAAACTAATCATGGGAAGTGAGAGTAAACATTGCAACAGAATTTTGACCACGCTCATCTGGGTACGCTATTAGCGATCCATTTAACAAAGACATTAAGTAGCTGTAATTGAAAGGCAGAAGTGAGTTGAAAAAAAAAAAAAAAAAACTAGCCTGCATGATTTACATCATTAATGTCCCCTTCAATATTACTTAGGCTATTGGTTAAAGTGAAGGGTTTCATTCTTAGATACAAAGTGTCAACAGTGTATACAGAGGTGTCAAAGAAGAACTTCAGTCCACAGCATGGCACTGCAAGAGACCCCCAGAAGCTGCTGACAAACTGCCTCATGCACGGGGTCCAAGAGAGGGGACCCCTTTCTCAGCCGACAACAGCTGAGCTGGGAACACCCGCAGAGACATGCTGGTGTGCTAGGGGGAAGCTCGGCAACTGTTCTGCTGAATAACCTCTCAGTCTGCTTTACTCCCAGGGAAGAAAAGAAAATGACTTAGAGCTAACAGCATCAACTGCAGACCCTCTGTCGCCACTGAGTTAATCCTTTGGTTTCCATGATGTCAAAAAGGCGATCTTAATAATACGGCATACTATCAGAATTTCAACCTTTAATTCCCAAACAATCCACAGAGAAAATTCTGAAGAATGCTCTCCACAGCGGCCCAGATCCACCAGGGCCTCTAATTTCAAGGAAATAAAGACAATGGAGCTCTTAAGAATGAGAAGGAAAAGGCACTGGTCATGCTATCAGGACCCCTAGACTTCAAGCCTGCTTGGCTCAGAGTACAATCCTCATCAATTTAGTGAACTGGGGCTGGTGCCCTGTCACAGCATGCTAAGCTTCAGCCTGCAGTGCCAGTATCCCAAACGGGCATCAGTTCAAGCCCCCATTATTTTATTTCTGATCCAGCTCTGCACAAATGGCCTGGAAAAGCAGAGAAGGATGGATCAAGTTCTTGGAACCCTGCACCCATGTGGGAGAACTAGAAAAAGCTCTATGCTCCTGGCTTCAAACTTGCCCAGCTCTGGATGTTGTGGCCATTTGGGGAGTGAAACAGTAGATAGAAGATATCTCTCTCTCCTCTCTAACTCTGCCTTTCAAATAAAAAAACCCATATATGTAAAATCACTAAACCAACTAATCTCAATGTTTTCATCTAAAAAATGGAGTAGAACATACCACCCACTTCACAGGATTGTGGGGAAGGTTAAGAGAGATAGTACGAATACGGAGGTAACAAACCACAGCTGGAACATACTAACACTCAGGGCTTCACAAAGAGGGTTAGTATTATTCATGACCATAATAACTTCACTCCAGAAATAAGGCAAAATTGGCCCAAAACAGGCAGGCTGCATCCCTGCTGAGTCTATCAGGCAGTTGCTAGGGTATGTGGATGAAAACAGTGCGAGAATTTTTCTTCAACCATGTTCATCAGATACATGAGCAGCACATCATTTAGTCAGGCTCCAGGGGCTGAGGTTCAGCTTGCTTGGGAGGAGCCCAAGTACCACAAGGACCAACAAAAGGGATTTCCAAAGACCTAAAGCCAGAGACTGCTCCCCATCCAGGCCCTAGCCAGGGTACCACTGAGCTCTAACTTTCCCCTCTGCTTTTCCTCTTAACCAGATCACTTCAAGGCCAGTGTTAGAGCTCTGAGAAGGTTGTCAAAAGCCCACCAAACAAAACAAAACAAACCTGAAATAATATTTGATTTTTCCATTTTGGAACACTGAGGTCAAATATGTAAAAGTTTGTGCCAAATGAAATTAAAAGATAAGTTTATTTCAAGGGTGTGAAAAATTCTGAAGCCCATGCATAGTTTCTTAATACCTACTTCTTTTTTAAACTACTATGCCAGGTCTTCTTTATACCTACTTCTATCAACATTTTGAAGTTCCTAGTAGATGCTGAATTTCAGGGTTCTTTTTTTTTTTTAACCAAAATAAGCTTATGTTTAAATTCCATTTTTCTACAAACTTGCTGAAGTACTCTCCTATTATGAATTAGAAGCATACTAAATGGTTCACACCATTTTGCTATAATCGTCTCTCCTGGAACCTAGTTTCAATGACCTGACACAAATCAAATCCTATTGGTCCAAATCGCATTTTATAAGTACAAGCTAAAGATGATCTTTCTGAATACAAGTGCCCACAACGAAATGCCCTCTTCACCATGCCTGAAAGAATGACAGGGGCTGGTTCTCAAAGGCCATCTTTGTGTAGGACAAATGGACCGAGGAAAATCTGTTTTCCTCTCCCCCTGCTGCTGTCGATAACCAGAACTAAATGAATGTTCTTCATGTTAGAAATCTGATGAAGCTGACCAAGCTGAAGCTCATTCTTTTGATCTTCCCTGTCTTCTCAATTTTGGGACTGAGCGAGGGCACACGCAGGTTGGAAGCACAGTGAGGCTGGGGCTAACTGCCAGTGGGTGGTAACACTCGCAAATTTGAGTTCTGAAAGGTGAGGACCGGAACTGAGGCACAGGGTAGGGGGTTGATTCCTTGAGGAATCAGAATCCAGACAGCTCTTCTAGCAAGGAGCAAGGGCCACTTTACGTCTTTGTGTCACTTTACACATATACAAGCCTCCTGGGGAGTGAATCAATGGATGGAAGATCTTCCTCTCTGTATATCTGACTTCCCAATAAAAAGCAAATACATATATATAAATTATACTTATGTATAAATACATTTATTTATTTATTCCTGGAGCCACCCAATGGTGCACGGGCTAATTCTCCGCCTGCGATGGCAGTATCCTGCACAGACACTAGTTTGAGTGCCAGTTATTCAACTTCCAATCTGGCTCCCTGCTAATGGCCTGGAAAAGCAGCAGAGGATGGCACACACATGGGAAACCCAGAAGCAGCTTCAAAGGCTGAAGAAACTGGGCTGTGAGTTAGTATCACACATAAAAGCCCAGAATATTATATGGTAATGTGGACAAAAATTATACCAGCTTTACCTGGTACTTCATGGATTATTTGCTGAATATTGTTATTCAGTACACCAGATCAAGTCCAAGCGTTAATAAGCAATATTATTATTTAGTTTCACTGAAAGTTGAGCCCCCACCAAAAAAATTCCTCTCTATCCATGAAGAAATTAACCAAGAGAAAGGCTTCATTGGGCTTACCCACCAAGGGAAAACACATAGAACAAGATGATAAGGAATGGGCATTCCTGTTCTTGAAAAGCCTCAACAAGAGAAGTGAAAGGAGCCACCGTTGTGGCTTAGCAAAGGAAAAACTGCTGCCTGTGGCTCTGGCATCCCGGATGGGCACTGGTTTGCATCTCAGCATGTCCACTTCCGATCCATCTCCTTGCAAATGCACCTGGGAAATCAGTGGAGGATTACCCAACTCCTTGGGTCCCTGCATTCACCGATGACAGTTGCAGCCATTTGAGGAGTGAACCAGCAGTGGAAAGACCGCTCTGTCTCTTGCCCCTACTTCTCAACACAGCCTTTCAAACATATAAACGAGTCTTTCAAAAAGAGGAGAGAAAAGTGAAAGTTCTCTGGGCCAAGCCCACTTAGCAAAATGTACCAGCCTGAAGCACCTGCCCTCTTGTGGTGCCTCCCACACTGCATTCTTAGTATTCAAGGCCCTACAAGGCATCAGATCCTATACTGAATTCTCACTCTGACAAGCAGGAATCTCGCAGTATTTCCAGTAGACACCATCCTCATGCTCGGCCACGTAGCACCAGGGGCTCACATCTCCATCTGGGTTTCTGTGGGGAAAAGAATATAGTCAATAATATCATGTAGTTCAGACAAGCAGATCAGTGTTTTTCAGTTTATGGAAAAAACAAAAACAAAAAACAAAACAAAAAAACACAGTTCTCTACCCTTTATATTGTATGCATTTCAGTGCTCTCATCAATAAAAATGGTATTACTCCAAGAATAGATCTGTCAACACTGATATACATCCCAGTTGCAGGAAGTGACAAAAGATGGGGGATGTTGAGACAGACTCATTATGATGTAATTAGGACAACTGGACACTAAACCAGTCATGCCAAACAGCATGGGCATCTTGAATGTGGACATGATTTTAGTTGGTGAATGAACACTGCGTATTTGCAACATGCAGAGAAGAATATGAACTGACATTAAGTAATCAGGGTAGCAATCTGATAATTAGAGTCAAAGGCCCCAAAAATATGAAAACCCGTTATGCGGCAATTTCCTCTTTAGGAACTTATTCTCAGGAAAGGTCACCTACAAGGATGTTTATTAGGGCCCAGGCACTGTGGCCTAGTGGCTAAAGTCCTCACCTTGTATGCACCGGGATCCCATATGGGCCCCGGTTCTAATCCCAGCAGCTCCACTTCCCATCCCTTTCCCTGCTTGTGGCCTGGGAAAGCAGTCGAGGACAGCCCAAAGCTTTGGGACCTTGCACCTGTGTGGGAGACCTGAAAGAAGCTCCTGGTTCCCGGCTCCGGATCAGCATAGCATTGGCCGTTGCGCTCACTTGGGGAGTGAATCATCGGACGGAAGATCTTCCTCTCTGTCTCTCCTCTTCTCTCTATATCTGACTTTGTAATAAAAATAACTAAATCTTTTAAAAAAATGTTTATTAAAGTATTTCTATTTAAAAAAAGAGCCTCTTTTCTCTCCTCCTTCCAGGCTCCCTTCCCCTCTTCCTCTTCCCCTGTTCCTGCCCCGCTTGAATAAACCTCCTAAGATACCTCGTTGCGTCTGGTATTTTCAGCTCATGGTAAAGAACCAGGTTGTGGGAATTAGCTGCGTGTAAAATATCATAATATCCTATGAACTAGAACTCCAACCCTTTTTAAATAACTAACACAAATTAAATATCTGATCATAAGTGACTAAATAAACATGGCATATCCAGACGGGGGAATGTTAGACAAGAGGGCAAATCTGATAGATAGAAGCCTCTAATCTTACCTAAAGGTACAATACATATATATATTTTTAATTGGAAAGTCCGATATACAGAGAGGAAGATCTTCTGTCTGCTGATTCACTCCCCAAGTAGCCACAACAGCCGGAGCTGTGCCAATCTGAAGCCAGGAACTTCTTCTGAGTCTCCCATGTGGGTGCAGGGTCCCAAGGCTTTGGGCCATCCTCCACTGCTTTTCCAGGTCACAAGCAGGGAGCTGGATGGGAAGCGGAGCCACTGGGATATTAATGGGAAGACTTTAGCCACTACTAGGCTACCCCCAAACCCTCTCAAATCGCTTGAATAAATAAAAACATTTGAAAGTACATCATTCTAGAAGATGGGACTGTTGATTTTTTTCTTTCTGGATTTCTTTCTTTTTACCTCAACATAGGCCAATTTTAATTTTAAAACCTTAAAAAAAAAAAACCCATAGTCTCTACTGGTAATTTTTCGTGAGGATCTGACTGGTCAACTCACATTTAAGAAAAATGGATCCTTTTTCGTCAAACTACTAACTCCCCTGCCCCATCCCACCCTCTGCCGCCAACAGAGAATTACAAAGAAAACGGTGCCAAAGAGTCTCAAGAACCTGTAGTTCTGTTCTCCCAGTGCCAACTTTGGATAGGAAAACAACCTGTTTAAAAGATTTACTTGGCATTTTTTAAATGGATGGTGGCTTGGGCTTTTCAACTCAAGAGATGGCACGACAGACAGGCTACACTGCTGGAGCAGATCAAAACTGGGCTATTGGACACATAGAAAAGCCTCATCTCTCTTCACAGCTTTCCAAGCCCCTTCCATTCAGACTCAGAAACCTGACACTCTGGTTAGGCCGGAAATGGACATAAAGACCCTGCAGTCCCGGGTGTTTTGGAGCAGCCCCTATCAGGCCTGTGGTGGGATAAGCCTATTGTGGGATCCAGAAGATAAGCTTCCATCAGGCACAAAGGACCCTTTTATTTCTTGTGCCCAAAGGCAGGTGCCAGCGCCAGCCCTGCTCTTCCCCAGTCTCTGCCTCCCCCTCTAATCCAGATACTTTGAGCCCAGCCCAGAAGCGCCTTCCCATCACTTGCCAACTCTCAGACATCTCAAATGGGATGGATCTGAAAAAAAAAAAGTCACACAAGACAAACACAGGTGTCGGGTGTCAGCAGAGAAATCAAAGCTGGGAGGGGGAGACTTGTACAAAGTCCTTCTTTAAACAGTATTTCACTGTCATTTTCTGCCTATTTGGTGTTCCTCTTTGATGTAGTATTGGGTGAGGCCCTTAGAAAACAACTGTTTATTATCGATGTCAAAAACTATTCAGAGAAGCATCACAATAGCTTAATAAAGAACAAGTAAATTTATCCTTCTTTTGCTTGCTTACTTGGTTTTAGCACTGCTTTAGCACTGTCTCAGCCTGGGCTCTGATGTGATAATAATCAAGGGGGAGTTTCAGCCTCTCCCCTTTTTGAAGTATAAACTGGTAATTCAGGTCTGGTACATTCCTCCAAATCAAAGGGTAGGGCTGCAGGGCCGGGGTAAGGTTCCTGTGGCTCCCACTTCTTCCTTAATGGATATTTACTAGTGAGAATCTAGGAGCCCAGGAGTAGACAGGGGTACTAATCTACTAAGGAAAACAAAAATGCTTTTCATATAAATTATGCCTCACTGGGAACTTTACCTTGAAGTCAGACTCTACAACAGAAGTTCTTCTAAGAAGAGTATCTTGATAGGAAGCAAAGTAATAGAATAAACTAAGAGACAGCAAGAAAATAAGCAACTACATACAACCAAAAACAAACATTCCTTTCTCTTCCTAAACGTTCTTTCCAGCCCAATTCAACCCTTCTTAAAAACTACCGGAAGGTAATAAACCAGAGAGAGTGAGACCTTTTTTTAAAAATATATAATATTTATACCAAAAAAAATGTCAAATTAACAAGTAGAACTTAGAAAAAAAGAACAGCATGTAAAAAACTGTTTAGGGGTTGGTGTTATGGTGTAACGAATAAAGCTGTCGCCTGCAATGCCAGCACCCATAAAGATGCAGGTTTGAGTTCTGGTGGCTAAGGCGCCTGGGAAAGCAGCAGCAGCACAGGATGGCCCACGTGTCTGGACCTCTGTCGCCACATGGGAGACCTGGAGGAAGCTCCTGGCTCCAGCCTGACTCAGTTCTGGCTACTGAGGCCTTCCAGGGAGTCAGTCAGCGGATGCAAGATGTCTCTTCTCTCCTCTCATTGTGAAAATGCTTTTCAAATAAATAATATTTTAAAAATTTTTAAAAATTGTTTAATGAGCATATGAAGCCTTAAAAAAAATTTTTTTAAAGATTTTTTTAAAATTTTTATTGGAAAGGCTGATATACAGAGAGGAGAGACAGAGAGGAAGATCTTCCGTCCGATGATTGACTCCCCAAGTGAGTGCAATGGCCGATACTATGCCGATCCGAAGCCAGGAGCCTCTTCCGGGTCTCCCGCACAGGTGCAGGGTCCCAAAGCTTTGGGCCGTCCTCGACTGCTTTCCAGGGCCACAGGCAAGGAGCTGGATGGGAAGAGGGGCTGCCGGGATTAGAACCGGCACCCATATGGGATCCAGGGTGTGCAAGGTGAGGACCTTAACCACTGCGCCACCACGCCGGGCCCTTAAAAAATTTTTTTTAATTAATGTATTTTACTTATTTGAAAAAGAGAAACGGGCAGGCAGGCAGGAAGGCAGCCAGAGGTCATGCATGTATCAATTCATTCCTAAACACCCTCAACAGCTGAGGCTGTGAGCCTGGGACTCCATGGGTGGTGGTATGTGAGCCATCACCTATTACCTCCAAGGGCACACACTGGCAAGAAGCTGGCATTAAGGAGTGGAGCTTGGATCTGAACACAATATAGGAATATGAGCATCTCAAGTTGGCATCTTAAGCACTACATCAATCAAGTACTTGCTCCCGTGTATGTAATTTCAATTACAGCAAAAATAATAAAACATGAAATAGCACATGTACAAATTAATTCTGGGAGCTGGAACTTGGTTGCGGGGAGGGTTTTAGGAAAAGAGGTAAAATGGAAGACTTTACACAAGCAATCTAAGTATATTTGTGTATATGCACACACATATTCAGTAGTGTTTGAGAAATCTTTTCGGAATAAGTTGTTTGTATTCATATCATAATAAATGGAGAACTACAGCAATAGCAAATATGAGGAATGTCAGTTGACGTAGGTGTAGGCAGAGGAAAAGGAAGATGCTGAAGGTACTAGCACAAAGAAAACATGGGCTAGAGATCTGACAACTTCAAGACAACTTGAAGGGCCCTTGAGTGTCAGCCAGGGTATACAGAGGATAAAAGACAAATAGTCACATACGTGTTGATTCAGCTGGATCAACAGTGCCACATGGTTGCGACGGCAATGCACTGCAGGAACTGGGATGTGGCATGGAGCTCAGAGTGGAGTTCCACAACCACTGTGATCTGTCCCAGTGGCTCAAGCAGTGGCTTCTGTATCTGTCCCAGTAACAATGACATTTAACATACTGCTGGGAGTAAGAAAGTAAAATGTGGGATTGGCACCGTAGCCTGGAGGGTTAAGCCACTGCTGGTGACACTGGCACTTCATATGGGCACTGGCTCAAGTCATGGCTGCTCCACTTCTGAAATTCAGCTCTCTGTTATTCTGTCTGGGAAAGCAGCAGAGCATGGCCCAAGTGCTTAGGCACCTTGGTACCCATGTGGGAGATTCAAATGGAGTTGGCCTGGCTCAGTCCTGGCTGTTTTAACCATTTGGGGAGTGATCCAGCTGATGAAAGATCTTTTTTACTGCCTTTCCCTCTCTCTGAATTTCCGCATGTAAAATAAATTCTTTTTTTTTAAAAAAAGGAGCGAAAACATACAACCAGAAGTGCTTAGAATCTGTTCTAGCTCCTAAGTATCAGTGATTTTTTTTTTCTTTTAAAATTTGTTTTAAAGGTAGAATCATTTTTAAAGGTAGAGTTTTAAAAATTGTTCCAAAGGTAGAGTTATGGATAAAGAGTGGGGGAGAGAGAGACAGAACTCTTTCATCCACTGGTTTACTTTTCAAATGGCTGAGGCTGAGTCTCCCACATGGATGCAGGGGCCCAAGGACTTGAGCCATCCTCCACTGTTTTTCAGGCCATCAGCAGGGGCTGGATTGGAAGTGACGCAGACAGGACTGGCACCCAGATGGGGAGCTGGTGATATAGGTGGAGGGTTACTGTTGTTGAGTTACTGTGCTGGCCCCCACACCAGTGTTTCTTAACTGTGTCAATCATAGATAAGTTTGAGAATCTGACTACAGCCACTGATCATCTATCCAGGAAATGATGGATATCATTTGAAGCACCATGCATGTCAGATTAAGAGCCTCTGCTACAGTCAGACAGGAAGCGAAAAGCAATGAAACGGGGCCTGGCTAAAGTTCTCTCCTTGTACACGCTGGGATCCCATATGCGCTCCGGTTCTAATCCCAGCTCCTCTGCCTCCCATCCAGCTCCCTACTTGTGGCCTGGGAAAGTAGTCAATGATGGTCCCAAGACTTGGGATCCTGCACCCACATGAGGGACCTGGAAGAAGTTCCTGGCTCCTGGCTTTGGACTGGCTCATCTCCAGCCATTGTGGCTACTTAAGTAGTGAATCAGCAGATGGAAGATCTTTCTCTCTGTCTGTACTTCTCTCTGTAAATTTTACTTTCCAATGAAAAAAAAATTCTTAAAATAAAAAAAGAAAGAAAGAAAAAGAAAGATAGATCAAAGAAACAGCTTAGTCTTGGGCCTGGCGGTGTGGCCTAGCAGCTAAGGTCCTCGCCTTGACTGCGCCAGGATCCCATATGGGCCCCGGTTCTAATCTTGGCAGCTCCACTTTCCATCCAGCTCCCTGCTTGTGGCCTGGGAAAGCAGTCAAGAACGACCCAAAGCCTTCGGACCCTGCACCTGTGTGGGAGACCTGGAAGAGCTCTGGGATCCTGGCTTTGGATCGGCATAGCACTAGCCATTGCGCTCACTTGGGGAGTGAATCATCGTATGGAAGAGCTTCCTCTCTGTCTTTCCTCCTCTCTGTATATCTGACTTTGCAATGAAAATAAAATAAATCTTGTAAAAAAAAAAAAAGAAAAAAGAAACAGTTTAATCTGCAGTACATAAATAAATAGCACCGAATTTGATGGATTTGCTCCTAGAGCAAGATTTTGCAGGACCAAAAGCAGGACGAGAGTTGGGGTCGCAGATGGGCAGGCCAATCACATCCCTGGCTCTGAGGAAGCTGTGTTTGTCTGTGTGCTGTCCTCTGGTGATAGGGTCAACCTTTTTTCCCAAAGGGAAAAGTAGGGGATCACCTGGAAAGCAGAGTTGTGTAAGCCAGCATCTAACAAGCAACCAGAAAAGCACTGACAGAGAGGCATGGGAGAAAATGCTTTAAAACTGTGACAAGAAAAGCCTTCTGAGTTGGCCAGAAGGAGACAAAGAAGCTTCCCCCGGTTGTGAATGGGACTGGAAAGGGATGGAAGAGGCAACCAGAGATGCCTGGCAATACAGAGTGGCCCCACCTTACCTGCAATAGTTATGGTCACCCAGGCCCCCCTCCCCGTTGGGATATTTCAGAGTGTTGTAGGGATGCTGGAAAGTCTCGTTCCAGAACAGGCATGGCTTCCCGCCTTGCAGCGCTGTCCAGTTCTGTGTTCCCCTGTAATCCGCACCATTGGCTGTGAAACACTCTAGGAAAAAGAAAAGACACAGCACGCTAATTTGCTGGCAACATTTATAGTCTCCTCCCTCTTGGGTAGATGTTGTATTTGTTTTCTTTGGACGAAGCTGGAGATGGATGATGTCTTGCTAGATCCTGGACACAGTGTAATTTAAACAGTGCCAGGGCTACATCCACCTGAAATTAGGTACTCTATCTAAACTCTAGGCTAATCTTGGCACGAGCTTGTCTACAGACACTAGAGCATTGGCTCAGAAAATATACATGTCCCAGCTGGAAACATAAACAGGGAGTGGACATGCACCAAAAGTCCATGAAGTGAAGTGGAACACCCCACACTCAGAGTCAGTTGGTAGTGACCAGGCGTGTGGAATTCTGGGTGCTCAGAGGGGGTCAAGGCTCTGGCTAGAGTCTCTGGGTGGTAACTAAAACTAGGTTACCAGCTGTAACCAAGTTTTCCTCTCTAGTCTGAAAGGCAGCACTGACACTTGGATTTAATAAGGCCATGGGATACAGCGAGGTTTGGAATACCAATCACACGACTCCGGGAATGACTCACATTCCCTGTTAATGAAGAACAGTCCTCCCCATGCTGTTTGCGAGAGAGGTGCAACAAAACAGATGAGCGCCACAAAGGAGGAAAGGCCAAGCTTTCCTCTCATGCTTTTCTGGAACCTTCCAACAAGACATGTTGAAGATGGTCCCATGTAACCAAATGACAGATCCTTGCAGGTGCAACAGCGTGCTGCCCCACACTGCTTGCTAGATGCAGAGGGGGATGGGAAGGGAGGCTGCGGGGCCTTCCCCACACATATTGGATGCATTAAACCCACAGAGGTTCATGAGAAAGGCACAGTACAAAGAGCCATATTTTTAAATTAGCTTAGTTGAAACTGACAGATAGAAGCACTTCAAACACTTCTTGAAGATGTATCACCAGAAAACTGACATTCTGTGGCAGTTACACTAACATTCAGAGCTTTATTTCTTCCCTTTTCCTGGCCTGCACTGACCTCTAACTCCCAGGATTAAGGACTCTTAATGTGGTACATGCCTGGTCCAGCCTGTGCAAGTGGGTAATGGAAGCATGTCTACATTCTGAAAGATACCTTTTTTTGTGTTCAAAAACCATCTTCACAATATCTCTCTCCCAGGACCTCTCTCCTTCTGCTGTCAGAGTCCTGTGTTTTGTCTAGAATGCCACTGTTTTATGGGTAGCCAAAATAATCTGGAATTGCAAGCTATGTAGAAAATCCTAGCAATTTATCATGTTTGGGACGATGCTCATATGTTACTGGTAAGTGTGACTTACCATGGACCATCATGACCAAACCCAAGAGCCTGCACATTAACGATCATTGAAGCCTAGTTCAACCAACCAACCCCACTATTCAGCCCACACTCATACTGGCGGTGCTATCTCCTGTCCATCCAGGCCCTCCCCCAGTCCTGGTTCTCATGCTGACCAATGGAAGCTGCAGCCCATCAGAGAAATGTCCAGATTCCCTAATGGGCCCACTCCCCTTCCAGGATCTTGCCTTCTCCAGGTGGTTCTGCAGTCTAGCTTGACAGGATTTGCCCCCAGTTCCAGCACTTGGCAGCTAGTGCTGTATGCACTTATTCTGGCTCATGCATGAACCAGTGGATACAGTTGGTTAGTCCAGCCTGGCTCTCCCCTAACCCGGTTCACATGCAGGCCAAGAGGTGTTGTAGCCCTGCCCGACCTGGTCTGTTCTCAGTCCGTTCTCACACTCACCAGTGGGAGCAGTGGCCCAGCAGGGGGGTCTGTGCTGTCCCCCTTCCAGGCTCACACCCCTCCACCTGGGTTTCATGTGTACTGGTGAATGCTGTGACCTAGTCTGGCATGGCCCGCCTCACCTTGGCATTTGCCGCAGGAGCTATAACCTGGCCTGGTCCAGTCTGCACCCCATTCCAGCTCATGCTGGTGGGTGCTGCACCCCAACCTGGCCTGTCCTGTACTCCATGCTGATTCTCAGATCTGTCAGTGGGTGTTGTGAACTGGCTCAACTTGGCCTGACCCCTAGCCCAGCCCTCACTTTTACCTGGACTTTCTGCTGATCACCTAGCTGAGAGACCTTGGACAAATTACTATCACCACATCACTTGTTCTAGAGCATCTGCCTTGTGCCAATCTCTGTCCTAAGTGCTTTACAAACGTCAGTAGGCACCCAGTAGAAAGGTACTTAAATAGCCCCACTTTACAGATGAAACTGGGAGGCGGTCCTCACCCCATGCCCTCTTCTGCCTTGAGCTGAACCCCCAGGTGTCTTCTCTGTTTCTCACATCCTGCCCATCACCCTACTCATCAGCAAGTTCTGCTGACTCTGCGGTTGGCACTGTGGTGCCATGGGTTAAGCTGCTGCCTACAATGCTAATGCCTCATTGGAGTGCCAGCTACAGTCCGAGCTGCTCTACTTTCACTCTAGCTGCCTGCTATTCCTGGAAAAGTGGCAGCAGATGGTCTGATTGCCTGGGACCTTGCCACCCACGTGGGAGACATGAAGGAAGTTCTAGGCTGCTGGCTGTAGCCTGGTCCAACCCTGGCTACGTGGGGCCATTTGAAGAGTGAACCAGCAGATACAAGATACCTCTTTCTCAGTCTGCAAATTTGCCTTTGAAATAAATAAGTAAATTTGAAAGATATGTATCTTTCTATGTAAGAATATACACATATATAATCTTAAAACTGCCTTCTCCTTCCCCTTTCCGTCTTCAGTGTCACCTGTCTGGGCTTGTATATTCATCATTAGAGAATAATTCAGGTCTCACAGCCTCAACCTGTTCTCTTAAAATCCATTTTTCATGTTGACCTTTCGAGTTGTCTCAAGACCAGAGGTCCTCAGAAGAAAACCCAAACTGTTCCCAGGGGCCCCGGCAGCCGAGCCCTCCCTCCGCCACACCGGTCTGCTTGCTGTTCGTTGGACACCACGCTATTTCCTGTGTGAAGTGTTCTTCCCCTAACACTTCCCACCGCAGACAAAGTGTAACTTTCTCAAAAAACCTGTTCCCAACACATTCTCTTCTATTTATCTGCAGATCTGAGTATCCTTAGGTATTCCTGAAACCAATCCACAGCAAATATGAAGATATCTATATCTGCTATAATTGAGAGACAGAGAAATAGAGATAAGGGTAGCAGAGAAGGAAGTGGGAGGAGCAAGAGACCCAATGTCCTATCCCAGCTGTAGACTACAAGGAGACCTGGGACCCTGTATCTCTAAAAAGTTGTCTTTTTAGTGACTCTAGGACATAATCAGGCTAAGGAGTCACTGGATTAGATGATTCTAGAAACATCAGGCAAGTTCTTCCCAACTGCTAGAATTTAATTGCCATGTGTTTATATAGTTCTCTCCTGTCAGATCCTGCATATCAAACTACTATGATGACAGAAAAACCAAAAGCCAACAAAATAAAAAACACTGTGATGAATACCTTAAATATATACAATTAAGAAATGGCAAGGAGTCACCCAGGAGCCACCCTAATGGGAGGCCTTAACCATACGCAGCAAGCAACCTGCAGGACAAGTAGGACCATGTTCCCAATGGCTCAGGTGGCTTCATCTGTGACACAAGTGGAGGAGGCGGCCACTCCCACACGTGACAGTCCTCATGAGTGGGAATGAAATGGCAACTGAGAGTGGGAGCAGGAAGTGCAGGCTTGTTTGCTTCGGTCTAAGATCCCACCTTGCTCTCGATTCTACGGATGAAACTGAGGCAGAATTTTTAAATTTTTATTGGAAAGGCAGATATACAGAGAGGAGAGACAGAGAGGAAGATCTTCCATCCGATGATTCATTCCCCAAGTGAGCGCAACGGCCGATGCTATGCCGATCCGAAGCCAGGAGCCTCTTCCGGGTCTCCCACGCGGGTGCAGGGTCCCAAAGCTTTGGGCCGTCCTCAACTGCTTTCCCGGGCCACAGGCAGGGAGCTGGATGGGAAGCGGGGCTGCCGGGATTAGAACCGGCACCCATATGGGATCCCGGGTGTGCAAGGCGAGGACCTTAACCACTGCACCACTGCACCACTGCGCCGGGCCCCTGAGGCAGAATTTAAGGATCATTTTTTGAACCTGACTTGCCCTGTGTGTGTCAATTGTGGAAAAAAGATACGAGAAGCAGACGGGAGTAGCTTCCAGGTTATCTGTGCGTCTTGATTTCTTCAGAACAACAGGGTGTGTGCTCAGGAACAAGGTCCCTGCCGCCCTTATTTTCTGTTGTTATATAAAACTGATGTGGGCCCGGTGGTTGGAGTTCTTGCCTTGCGTGAGCTGGGATCCCATGTGGCCAACGGTTCTAATCCCAGTGGCCCTGCTTCCCATCCAGCTCCCTGCTTGTGGCCTGGGAAAGCAGTCAAGGACAGCCCAAAGCCTTGGGACCCTGCACCCATGTGGGAGACCCAGAGGAGCTGTTGGCTCCTGGGTTCGGATTGGCTCAGCTCCAGCCATTGTGCTCACTTGTGGAGTGAACCATTGGACAGAAGATCTTCCTCTCTGTCTCTCCTCCTCTCTGTATATCTGACTTTCCAATAAAAATAAATAAATCGTAAAAACAAAAACTGATGTAAGCTTTGCCCAAATAAGTAAAGAGTGGCCTGCATCTCTTACTAAAAAAAAAAAAATCACATGCAAAACTCTTCTAAGAAAATGAGTGAAGGCAACAGATCTAATGTCTAGGATATCAGTCATAGTTCATTTTACAGATATTGATTCAGGACTTACTATGCACCTGGCTGTATTCACAACACAGAGGTCACTGTGTTTATGGAACATCTATGCTAACAGGGACGCACACACCCCTAACAAACCCATGAAGACTGACATCAGACAGAGGCAGTGCTGTAAGGGAAAAGGAAGCGGAGTAAGGTGAGGGGGACAGTGGGAGATCTCTCGTAGACAGAGCAACTCAGGTAGGGCCTGGAAAAGAGAGGAGAGGAGAGGAGAGGAGAAGAGAGAAGAGAGGAGAAGAGGAGAGGAGAGGAGAAGAGAGGC